ACTGACAGCACCGTGCTCGCTGCGAGTTCTGGGGTTGGTAGAGATGATGTGGCGCGGTGGCAAAACAGAAAGCAGCTGCGGAGGACCAGGCAAGTAGTGCAGCTTGTACAGGCAGGCAAGCGAGGCAACAGTGCGGCGGATGGCCAGGCTGGGTAGGTGTGCGCCAGGGCCGATAGCATGAAGCGCGCGGCGCTGAACATTGTTCAGACGCTGGAGGTGGCTCTGCGCAGCTCCCATCCATACAAGAGGCGCATACTCCATGACTGGTCGTACGAACGCCTTGTATACGGTCGTCCGGCCGGCGGGGGTGAGTATGTGGGCGGCTCTGTTTAGGACCCCAAGCCGTTGGCGTGCACGGGTGGCTACGGAGCGTAGGTGATCGCTGAAGGTCAACTTGGCGTCCACCTTCACACCAAGGAGGGTGATGGTGGTTGTCTCGGGCACCAGTGTGCCACCAAACAGGAGTGGGGGGAGATCTAAGCCGGTGCGTCTGAGGGTGGCTGTCATGGCCTGGGATTTGGTCGGTTCAAACATCACTTTCCATGTATGACCCCACTCGTGCAGTCGGTCAACGGACACCTGCAGTGACTGCGCGGCGACTGTTGGGGTCTGCTGGGAGGTGACTAAGCTGTACAAAGTTGTATCATCAGCATAGGCTTCCAAACTGGCGCCGTCAGCGAGAACATCTGGCGCGTCGTTGACGTAGGCCAGGAAAAGCGTTGGTCCAAGGATGCTTCCCTGGGGGACTCCAGCGGAGGTCGTATACCTAGATGACGTCCGCCCTCCAACGAGGCACTGTAGGGAACGGGTGTCCAGGTACGAGGCCAGCCATCTCTGAAGCGGACCATCTATGCCTAGGCTACGCACCTTGTGAAGGAGGCCGACATGCGAGACACGATCAAACGCTCCTGCGATGTCCACAGCTAGGATACGAGCCGCCCCTCCACAGCCCACAGCGCTTGCCCAGGCAGTTTGGAGAGCTTGCAAAGCGTCCGATGTTCCAAGGCCTCTGCGAAATCCAAACTGGTGCGACGTGAGCAGATGATGGTCTTCAAAATAGTTTACGATGTGTCTGTTTACAAGAGTTTCCATTACTTTCGAGATTATGCACAGTAAGGATACGGGCCTGTAGTTCTTAAGGGTTGAGCGGGAAGATCGCTTGTGGATCGGAACCACGTTGGCCGTCTTCCACATCCTAGGTTGCACTCCAGACCGGAAGCATAAAGCAAATAGCTTGGACAGTGGCTCTGCGAGCTCATGAGCACATTCCTTAAGGACGCGAGCAGAAATACCGTCAGGCCCGGTAGCCTTGGAGACGTCGAGCCTTGCCAGGAGTCGGCGGACAGCCTGTGGGCGGAAGCGGATGGTGCGAAGAGGTGGAGCCTCTGAGGGAGCAGGGTCCGGTAGGTCAGCCTCCACAAGGTCCGGACCGGCAACGCTACATTTCTTCGAGAAGAAGCGAGCGAATGCCTCTGCTTTCTCTGAGCTTGTTGCCCACTCACGGCCGTCAGAGTCGACAACTAGGGGAATTTCGGGCTGTGTGCGGTTGCCAGCAGCGTTCTTCAACTTCGTCCACCACTGTTTGTCTCTGAGGGACCCAGTTGAGAGGCTGCGACGGAGGCTGTCCTCCTTTGCACGTCGTGATCGGAACTGGGTGGCGATCGCTACAGTCACGGAATCGGTGAATGCCTGCTGAAGTGCTGGGTCATAAGGGTGTTTTCTCCAGTCGCGCCAGCGCTTCTCCTTCTCCCTCTCGGTCTCTGTGCATTCAGGCGTCCACCATACCGGATCGGAAGGCCTCGTTTCCAGAACTTTGGATGGGACAAACTGTGCAACAGCTGCAGTAATCGAAGCGGTAACCTGCTCACAGGAAGTTTCTGGGTCCTCCGTGATGATATCACCCCATTCCACGTTGCGAAGATGCGCCCTAAGGCGATCCCAGTCTGCCCTGTTGTAGCGAAATACTGTTCGCTTAACGGGGGGTTCACGTCTAGGGAGCACGGAAGAAAAGTCTGACAGTACAACTGCATGGTCAGATCGACCGAGGGGCGGAAGTATACGTGTAGTTACTGGGGACGTGAACGTTGACATTATGTAAACTCCGCCTCCTCATGCTTCGTATCCACACCGCCAGAATTAGTAATCTCCTGTCCAAGCGCCTACGTCGCCAGACTGAAGGCGTCACTCGGATCAACGATCCAAATGCGTATGTTGTCCCTGCCACCAGGCGAGTCTCTGGTGACTGTCGGCCGCTCGTTTCTGCTGTTAAATTATGGAACGCCCTGCCCCAAGAGTTCAAGTCCCTCGCCTGCCATAGATCATTCAAGAGACTTTTAAAGGTTTATTTTTATGGTTAGCCAGCATCTAGGCTTGGACTTGGAGTCGTGACTCAACTGTGACTCAACTGTGCTTTCTTCTTCTTTCTTTTTCTTTTTTTTCCCCTTCTCTTTTTTCTTTTTGAGTATTTGCAGTCTGTGTTTTCTGTGTTTTTCTCTCTTTCGTGGAGGCTTGCTTGTTGTATCCTTGGCTCTCGGCCGTTACTTTATCGCCATCATAATATTGGGCACCATTGCCCGTTTGGTCTGCGATACAAAATAAAATTTCAACAACAACAACAACATGAGATCTAGCGGGTTGTCTCCACGAGTCGGTACTGTGACATGCTGGACAAGAAGATGGGCAGCGCAGGTATCTTCGAGAGCCTCGCCTGCAGGCGTAGATTTCGAGCTGTTCAGCCAAGCCCGGTTGTGCACGTTGAAATCGCCAGCTAGGATAATGTGGGAGCCCTGGTGTCTAGCTTCTGGGAGGATGTTGTCGAGATGATCGATTAAGGTAAGATCGCCAGGGGCACAGGACCCTGGCCGATACACTGCTCCCAAGACGGTGCGGAGACCTGGGGCCAGCTGGAGAGAAACCCAGATGATCTCATGTGCGGGGGACATGAGGTCAGGGATGAGCATGGAGGGGAGTGACGACTTCACCCAGATGGCTACCCCTCCCCCATGTGCCGTTCTGTCCAACCGAAGTGGTGAGCTGTATCCAGGGAAGCTGATGTCAGAGGGAAGCACTTTCTCCGCAGTGAACTTCGTTTCTGTCACAATTGCTACGTCGGGCTGATGCTGCAGGAGTGCGTGCTGTAGGTCGGGAAGTTTGCTGGCTAGGCCGAAAGCGTTTGTGCAGAGAATGCGAAGATTCTTGCTACCCTTCATTGCAGGAGGAAGTAATTAAAAAAAGGGGAGGGACATTTGGCGTAAGCGGGTGCATAGTTACATGTATGGCTAAGGGTCCTAAAATCTAATGAAATACCTAAAAGGATCAAGCTAAAGATAAGAATGAGGAAGCTGGAGGAAGACACGAGGTTGAAGTAGGACAGGGAAAACCAGATTGTGTTTGTATACCTAGGGCTACACAGGGGGAGAAGATGTTATCTGCGCCAAGTTATCTGCTTGTTGCTTGACGCAGTGATCCTTTTCGCCTTCTTCTTTCTCTGGTTATCACTGGAAACTACCAATGGGGAGGTCGACTCCCGCGGCCTCTTGTGGAAGCAGTCTGCCAATATCGCCAATGCTCTAGCCTCATCGCCCCCTGAGAGTTTCCCCTCAGGTGGACAGTCCGACTCCTCGGCCCAGCTGCTGTCAGGAGACAGAGTCAGGTCAAGTTCCACGTGGTTGCTTTGTTTATCATGCTCAGGTCGCATTTTGACAGTTACGGCAGAAGCTGAGTCTTGGCTGCCATGTGTACCCGTGCCCTCCTCCAGGGGTCTCGAGTCGGCCTGACCAGCTGGAGAAGCGCCCAGGCTCTCGTGTTGTGGCTGATCCTCGCGCGCTTTGTCTGCACCGATGACCTCCTGGGGTCCCGATTTGACTGCAGTCAGTGCAGAGGCTAGGCTTTCAGGCAGTGGCTGATCCTCGCGCCCTTTCTGGGGTCCCGATTTGACCCTGTTAGCGTACGTTCCACGAGGGGTGCGTGGCCTGGTGGGGCAGTCCGCGGCCAGGTGACCTGGGGACTCCCTTACCCTACAGGTGCGTGGTTGATCCTTATGAGTCTTTTGGTAAGTTTTCCCTCGTGCACTTGGCCGCATTTGCACTACAAAGTCGGTGCCCAGCACGTGCTCTCACACTGCTCTGCGGCAAAATGCGCGTTCTTCTGAAAAAAGGTGACGTCAACAAAAAATTCCTCCGTGGGCGGGGGTATCTGCAGATTGTGCAGGAGAGATCCGGAGTTGCACACTCTTGTTTAGGCCAAGTAAAAAAAAAAGCTAGATGATCGTCCCCGTCCGCCCCAGTTTTTGTCAGCGCCCCAAGAAATATTTTATTTTTTAAATCGTGAGTTTTTGCCGAAATCGTTGGTTTTTTTACCGATCGCGGATGCAGGAAACATGTGCAATACTTTCTTTACTATATGGACCACATACTACTAGTATATCACAACGTCAGTATCGATCTGCTGAAGAAAGAAAAAGAAAAAAAGAAAAAAAAAAGAAAAAAAGAGAAAAAAAACCTTGATGTTGTTGTGTACACTGTGTGCATGAGAGGGTAAAAAGTAAAAAAATAAAAATAAAATCCTCCCGCCCTCCCCGATTTTTCCAAAAAAAAGGACGATCATCTAGTAATTTTTTTTACTCGGCCTTATCTACTCTTGCTATTACCATTAGGCGCGTGTGTAGACCTACATGTAATTGTTAGTACATAGTAACATAGTCCCAGACCACGCCACCACTCCCCTTATTCATGGCTCACACATGACGGGATTACGTGGCTCTGGTAAAAATAAAATAAAAAAAGTCTAGTCATGCACATTTGCATGCACTATAGAAAAAACATTTTGCGGTCGGGTGAAAAAAGACGGTCGGTCGGGTGACCCGAAACAACGATTTATTCTGGGTGGCCTAATGAACTGTTTTTCGTCACCAGTTCATTGCTCAGTGCTGCTCAGTACACAGTACTGTGTGAGGACAAAGAAAATGTTTTTCTACCATTTTACAACCCTGCATCTTTGAAATGGCTGACGATCTTGAAGTTCACAATGCCATCGGCAAAGATGTGAGCAATCTTCGCTGCTGCGTGGCGTGCCACAGCGACGCAGACTCTCTCAAGATGAAGGTATTGAATTGCTTGCACGCCATGTGCGTCACGTGTCTCCGACAACATTTGAGCAATGACGGAACGGTGTCGTGCTTCAAATGCCTGACTGTGGCAGCATCAGGTATGCCAGGAGTAAGACTGGAGGAATCCCTAGCCGACTGGCCAGTTCAAAAGGTAGAGGTGAGAGGCAAGGCAAGTAGCGAGCTTCAATCATATCATTCAGAGAAACAGCTCGTATGTCAAAGCCTAGAATGCCAGGGAGAATCTTCCCCGGCTACCTCGCTATGTGTCGACTGTGGATTATACATGTGTGAGGGACATGAGAAAGTACATTTGATGAAGAGAAGCTGCTATGGACACCATCTCCAGTCAGTGCACACGATGAGAACGGCAGCAGAGGGCGACACAGTAGCCGATTCAGAATTCCTCAATTGTAGCCTGCACCCACATTTTCTAGCGAAATCCTACTGCAAGAAATGTGAACAGTTGATATGTCAGAGGTGCTCCGAGCAGCGTCATGCTAGCTGTTCACCAAGTATGGAAGAGATTCCCACAGCAGCTGAAAGAAAACGATCTCAGTGGAAGTCGCTGCTAAGTAATTCTAGCGACTCGTGGAGAGAACACCTCAGTGACATGAATGTGCACATTGCAACACGCACCGCAGAAATCAATGAGAAAGTGGAGGCATTGTCAGAGGAAATTGTAGCTGATTTCAATACGCACATCAAAAAACTGCAGCGCAGACAAGAAGATCTTCTGAATGAGCTGGACACTCGGCGCTGGAAAGCACTGCAAGACCTGGAGAAGCAGTCCAGCATTGTGGAAAAGAACACCTTTCAACTGGATTGCTGTGAGCATCTCGTGCTGAATCTCGCCAACAGTCATCTCTTGACTGCAGAGAAGATCCTGCAGACACACATCAAGGATGTTGTCAATAGCAACGAGGCAGCTGATATTAGTGATGATCATCGAGTGGATGTTGATTTCACTGTATCCTACCGTGCATTTGCAACGGATGATATGGAGAAGAAGCGTACATCACAGCTTGGACGTCTTGTCGACTTTGCCTCCCGCACAGAGTCAGTGTGGAAGAATACTGTACAAGTGCAGCCAGTGTTCGATCCATTTAGCTGCGAACCTGCAAAGTTTTCTCTGTCGAGTGATGGACATGAAGTATCACATACAGATGTTTACACTTTTGACACAATCTCCACACTGGGCAGTTATTGCCATGGCGTGGTGGAGTGCTCAGCCCAGATCAGTCGCCTTGTAACAGGGGTCTTCCTTGGGGTCGTTAAAGAAAGTTGTACAACACATGCGCGATGTACAGAAGAGAGGCCATTCTTGGGTTGGTATTGCTACACGAACTACCAAGAGTACAGTGCGGGCAACAACACAAGTCTTGGTCAGGTATGGCAAGATGATGACATCGTAGCACTGCGGTTGGATTGTGATCAGCACACACTGACAGGGACACACCAGAGATCTGGCCAGAGTGAGACCATTGCTGTGCCCAGCGGTAAGCTGTGCTTTGCTGCAGAGATGGGTCACCTGACAGGGATCAGGTTTTTGCCTTGTCTCTCTAGTTACTCACCTCTTGGTTTGTCCTGTGCCAGTGGTAATTTATCTCTGCTCTAGTCGCCGGCCAAGCAGGTCTGAATGACGTCATCAATAATTCATACAGTATGCTAGTGCTAGGATACAGTACTGGTCTGTACATGACTGTACTACAGTGTATTGGTATTACCAGTGCATATGTACATGTAGGTTATGGGCCGCAACATCACTCTGATAGTCCAGTGCCTTCTTTCCACCTTCACATGTACCGCTACATGTACATGTATTTCACTCTCAGCATGGTAGCCAGCAATGCTGATGGAATGCTGGTATCTCCTTCCGTATAACCATGCTGTATGCTACTTGTTTTTGTATGTTGAATGATATATGCACTAGAGAGTGTCGGGGGTATGGCCTTCAGCTACTTCTGTGCCTGTTCGCTTCAGCATTGTTGTGCGCAGATTTGAGTGTTTTACGATTTTGTCGAAGACGTTTTGCTTGCACTTTGTGCACTTCATACTCTCTCCCCTGTACACAGAATTTTGAATGCTGATTCTCTCCGCAACTGCTTGATCTGGAGGCATATATTTCGAAGCCATGACCATGATTTTCCCAATGCCTTATCTCACCATCTCATCTATTGTCAGACTCATAGTTATAATGATTGTAGGACACGGCGGCGGCCATGCTGAACATCAATCACTACTACAACTACAAGTCATGTACGTTGTACATGTACTTATAGCTGTAGCACCTTTACAGGCCCATCCCCGCCCCGTCTCTCAACAAGACAGCATGTCTTTGAATACTCAGTGCGGCCATGCACCGCCTTCATTACACTCCTGCTCGGGCTGTCTAGATTTCCATTTTGCCCTGGTTCACCAGTGGTGATCAGCGGGGACTTCACATCTCTCTCTCTCTATCTCTCTTTCTCTTTTTCTCTCTCTCTCTCTCACTCTCCCTCCCCCACCCACTCTTGGTGCGTCTAGGTGGCCATGAAGTCGAGACCCTAGGTCGGCGGAGCTCCGTGAACCTCACCACCACTGCCACGATTCAGGTTGTGCGTGCTTCCCCTAGCTGCATCTTGGAATGAAGACGCGCTGCTAGAATCCGTTGATTTGCGGACTGTTCATCTTTGTTTGTTTGTTTGTTTGTATTTTTTTTTATTCGCAAATTCAAACGGGCATAGAACCCAATAACATGAAAGCGAATATGAAAGTTATAATGAGAATGAGAATTAAAATGCTTAGATCTTCAGCGTAGAGCCAGCGGTACATCAGAGGGAGATCGGGTACAACAGAAAGAGAACAGAAAAAACCCAGAAGATTTCGCTTGTCTTCAGCATCTACAGGGCACAGGTATAGGGGATTACCTGCGTGCGAAACTGCCGAGCGTGATGGATATCCGGATGGCACGGATGTCGCTGGGGAGGGCATTCCATGATACAGCACCCTTGCAAGCAAAGCGCCCCCGCCCCGCAACCGAATGGGAAACTGGCACGCACAGGCCCATGGCAGATTGGAGCTGAGTAGGGCCGGGTGCAGCGGAGGTTAGCAGGGCTTGCAACTCTGGACTTGCCAGTGCATAACGACAGCGCCACGTCACCAGGTACGCTAGCTTCTGATTGAAGACTTCTGCCACACGGAACACTGCCATGCGCTCCAGCAGGTCGCGGACAGACGACCACGGAGGGCGGCCAAAGACAGCACGAGCCCCACTGTTCTGCAGGACCTGTAGACGGTCGAGGTACCTTCTTTGCAGTGAGCTAGAGTACGCGTTTGAGGCATACAGCAGGTCAGACATGATCAGCGATCTAAAGTAGGTCATGCGTGACTGGTGATTCAGGCAGCGGCGCATTCGCCAGAGTGCTCCGATCTTCTGCGATACGCGTGCAGAACATTTGGCAATGTGGGCGTGCCAGGACATGCCGGAATCGATTGTGGCGCCAAGATAACGAGCACTTAGCACACTAGGCAGTGAAGTGGCATGGCAGACGACCTGTAGATCAGCTGTGTGCTGACGGCCGGCAGGAATTGGCACAATTTGGCTCTTGCCAGCATTGAGGATCAGGCCTCGATCCTTTAGCCAGTCTGCAAGGATTGAAACCGAAGCAGATAAGACATCGGATACCTCCTGTGCTGTTCGCCGGCTGCACGCGAGCGCAATGTCGTCCGCGAATTGAACTGACTCGGACTGGCCAACTACAGCGGGGACCTCGCGGGTGTAAAGGCTGAACAGAATGGGGCCCAGAACTGAACCTTGGGGGACACCACTCGTGCAAGCTGATATAGAGCTAGTCCGCGACCCCAGACAGACACGTTGAGTGTGACCGAATAGGTAGCTGGCGAACCAATTCAAGGCAGAACCGGACACCCCAACACTGTGGAGATCCTGCAATAGCTTGAAATGTTGGACTTTATCGAAGGCTTTGGACATGTCTAACAGGCATACACCTGTGAATAGGCCCTGGTCCTTGGCTGTTAGGATGCGGTTTGACATAAGGACTAATGCGTCTTCGGTAGAGTGGCCACGCCTGAACGCAAACTGGGTTGTTGGTAACGATGCTGTTATGTCCAGGAAGGGCAGCTTCTAACCGGCCTACAGCCACAGGCGTGCAGCCACCACTCTCCCCTCCTCCATCACCAAACACTTGTAAGTTACCCCACACTAGCCTTAATGTAGGAACCCTCAACATTTGCAGCCCCAGGAACAAAGTTGAAGAAGTCCACCACGTTTTGCATAATTTTAACCTAGATGTATTAGCCATTACTGAAACTTGGCTCAATGACACTATAAGCAATGCCCTAGTTGCAATACCTGGCTCTTCTATACTTAGATCTGACAGGACTAGCCAGCAAGGTGGAGGAATATGTTTTATGTCAGGCACTCACTCGCTGTCACTGCCATCACCTTCCCAAATCCAAACCAGCTTGAAGTCTTGTGCATTGTGGTGCAGACCACAACAACTGACCAGCTTACACTGACCTGTGTCTACAGGCCCCCAAACAACACTGTGGGCTTTTGGCAGCTTCTTACAGATACCGCCGATCATCACTACAACCCACGTGCACCGATGATTGTTCTGGGTGACCTAAACTGTGACACACTGCGAACACCACCCACATCCCACGTTCACCATTTCAAAGAGTTCTGCAGCTCACTTCACCTTGAGAACATAATTTCCTCTCCCACACGATTCCCCAGCCAATCATGTCTAGACGTTGTACTGGTCGATCGACAGTTGCTAGGTCGTGCGCCAGGCAGTTCCAGAGCTTTCATCTGGAACCAAGCTGTACATCCCGTAGTAGACGTCAGTGATCATCACCTTGTAACTTTCTCCTACAGCGCCCCTGGAAGAGCTTCATCACCCGCAACTACAGGGATACGACATATCCGCCGACCACCTCTGTCTTCAATCAGCCCTGATATGCTGAAAACAGAAATCGCAAAGAATGTGGCCGAATCGACGAGCGGCACCTTCCAATCGCTGGATCAATCAGCATCAGCGTTTCGTGACAGCGTCCTGTTGCCCGCACATACATGTATACGATTGTACATAATTGTACATGATTGTACATAATTGGTGTACATCACAGAGAAGAAAAAAAACAGTGTATCAGGCTGGGAACTGCGGGAATTTAAAGGCTTCATGATCGATGGTGAAGGAAAATAAGCGTACCGTAGTCTTACGAAAGAACCCCTTGAAATTACATACAGTCATGCACAACCAAACATGGATTCGCGAGTGCTTAGGCGTTGGCGCATACAGAAGCACAGTCACTCATACTGCAATGGCTGAAAATCGGCTAAAATAGAGCTTATCACAATTCACATGTGAATCCAAAATGGAAATCGGGCTGCACAGGTGAGTCTAAGTGCAGGTAAACCCTAGCAGTGAGGTACAGCAGCATCAGAATAATAAGCTAGCACGCTACGTGCTGGGACACTTGCAGTGTCAGGCAGCTCCTCTCTGATGCTTAGGGACACGACTGAACGAGACCTGGTCTCCCTCGTCTAGTAGCGCTACAAACCAGTGGCACTCCGTCGTGTCGACGGTACCGGGATGATACTCTACAGCTGCTAGTGTACCAGTGCGATGGTGCATGGCCCAGAGAGAGCGCTTTGTGCGCTCCAGTTTCATGGATATGACGTCGCCGGACTTCCAATCCTGGCCCAGGCGCCGGCCGCCGTGGTTGTGCGGCACAGAATTGCCTACCCAGCCTATCAGATTGTTGTCGGGCATCTGGGGATCACCGGGATACATGAACACCGGATGTGCACTGAAGCATACACCCATATATAAGTGAGAGCCATGTGTTTTGTCGATTACAACGGTTATGGCAGTGTCAAGAAGCTCTTGGCCTATTGCCGAGCTGCAAGCCATCTTGAAACAGCATGGCAAGTCTGTGGCACGAGCTGTTCTGTTTCCGTTCTCGAGTGCCAGGCCAGAGCTGGCGCTGTGTTGGGTGTCAAACGCACGGCTGGAAGGGTGGCAGGGTAAAACGTCTGAGCTGATACTGTCAACTACTAGTAATGTGTTAAGTGTGCCGCGTTGAGCAGTGCTGGCTTCAGCAGGCATAGAGTTTTCCACTTCAGCAGGCGTAGAGTGTTCCACTTCAGCAGGCGTAGAGTTTTCCACTTCAGCAGGCGTAGAGTTTTCCACTTCAGCAGGCGTAGAGTTTTCCACTTCAGCAGGCGTAGAGTTTTCCACTTCAGCAGGCGTAGAGTTTTCCACTTCAGCAGGCGTAGAGTTTTCCACTTCAGCAGGCGTAGAGTTTTCCACTTCAGCAGGCGTAGAGTTTTCCACTTCAGCAGGCGTAGAGTTTTCTACTTCAGCAGGCGTAGAGTTTTCCACTTCAGCAGGCGTAGAGTTTTCCACTTCAGCAGGCGTAGAGTTTTCCACTTCAGCAGGCATAGAGTTTTCCACTTCAGCAAGCGTAGAGTTTTCCACTTCAGCAGGCGTAGAGTTTTCCACTTCAGCAGGCGTAGAGTTTTCCACTTCAGTAGGAGTAGAGTTTTCCACTTCAGCAGGCGTAGAGTTTTCCACTTCAGCAGGCGTAGAGGTTTCCACTTCAGCAGGC